TGAACTTGGGCCAACTTCAATGACTTTTATTTGAGTTAAAACGAAAGGATCTCATTGGAAAAGGGGTTGCCATTTGTCTCTAATACTCTGCCACTTCAGCTTCAACATCTCTCTCCATTTTTTCTCTTCTTTCCTCGCTCCATCTAATAAGTAATATTCCTCTGAACAGAGATTTTATGTGGAAAATCCATGTTTCCATGAGTTAGAGCTTGGAATCTAGGGTTAGATCTCCAGTCATCAACACCCGGAAAATCCAAGGTCTGTTTTTTAAAAAAACTCTCCATGACCATGAAAGACAATCCAAAGGTTGAAGATGACTTCCCATGGGATCAAAGCTTGAGAAACCATTTCACTGTTTCCTGGACTTTCCCCAAGTTTGTACTTTCTTCCCTCCTTTTGATTTCTATTCTCTGCATCTTCTACACAGTCAGCTTCTCGAAAGCTTCGAACAAAGAACCAAACATCATCCAAGCAGTTCATGTTAATGCCGGAGAGAAATCCATAGCCACTGCTTCGCCGCCCGTTTCATCTCCAAAACCGAACTCCTCGCAAAAAACAACCCTTCATCATATAGTTTTCGGCATTGCAGCCTCGGCTCGGTTATGGGATCAAAGGAAGAATTACATCAAACTTTGGTGGAAGCCTCAGCAAATGCGTGGCGTCGTCTGGTTAGACAAGGGTGTTAAAACCGGAACCGACGACCATCTTTTGCCGCCGATAAGGATTTCCGGCGATACTTCCAAGTTCAAATACAATAACCCAAAAGGCCACCGGTCTGCCATAAGGATATCCCGTATAGTATCGGAGACTCTAAGAATGGGCATGGAAGATGTTAAATGGTTCGTTATGGGAGACGATGATACGTTCTTTGTGTCCGATAATTTGGTTAGGGTTTTGTCTAAATACGACCACAATCAGTTTTATTACATCGGGAGTTCGTCGGAGAGTCATTTGCAGAATATTAATTTCTCGTACGGGATGGCTTACGGCGGCGGAGGGTTCGCCATCAGCTACCCTTTGGCTAAAACACTTGCGAGAATGCAAGACAGGTGTATAGAGATACCCCGGATTGTACGGCTCCGATGATCGAATTCACGCTTGCATGGCGGAGCTCGGTGTTCCCCTTACCAAGGAACCGGGATTTCACCAGGTTTGCATTTTTTTTTCACTTTTCGTTCTTTATATTATATAAATACTTAGGTTAAATGGTGTTTTATTTTTTAAATTATATTTCATTATTAACGCATATAAAAAATTCTAATTAAATTAGAATTCTAAAATTTTCAATAATTGTTTGATTCCACCACTTAATTTTCTTAATTTATTTAGCTAATGCATTACATGTGGGGTTATTCCCGAATTATCTTTCTTAATAACTAAACAAATAGGGATAGAGTTAGGCGATAGTGGTCATCTCTTAAAATTTTAAAATTATCATACACTGTAAATTTTTTTATATTTTTCTATTGAAAATATGTTCTTGCCCATTAAAATTTTATAAGTTATAGTTCGACTCTTGAAAATTTAAAAAAAAAATAGAAAGGAATACTTAAAGGAACCCTAATCTTGTTTAGCTAATGCATTACATGTGGGGTTATTCCCTAATTATCTCTCTAAATAACTGAACAAATAGGGATAGAGCTGGGCGGGAGCGATCTTCTCCTTAAAATTTTATAATTGTCATACACTTTAATTTTTTATATTTTTTATTGAAAATCTATTCTTGTCCCTTATAATTTTATAAGTTCTAGTTCGACTCCTGAAATTTTATAGTTCATGTTCATCTCTCTTAACATAAAATTTTAGGTCTATCCCAATAAACCAAACTAATTCAACCAAATAATAGCGATTTAGTGTTTTAGATGATAGTACAATAATTTGTATTTAAAAGTGTATTATAATTAGTTAACCTAATCTAAGCATAGTCATAAAATTACAGTAATAATAGCACAAGTAAAAGCTTAATTTGCTTGTCTCATGTATTTAAAGACAACAATGAATTGGGTCATGATGAAGCTTTGATTATTATAAACTCGAGTTTAAATCATCATAATTTTAATTTGATACAAGTTAAACAATGTCACATACATCAAATTCAACTTAACAATTAAATTTGATAATTTGATCCAATTTAATAAAGTTTTAAATTTTTTATTTTTTAAAAAATATAAATAATCAAATAAAATATTAACTTTTTAACTTAATAAACATATAATTGAAATAAATTTTAACGTAATATTATAATTCTAGTACTTTGTAGGATAACTATTTATTATATTTGTATTAAATTTGGGTTTAAGATTACTTTTATCCTCGGTGTATATTCAATTTATTTTTTGCATCAATTTAATATTCGGAGTTTCTTAGGATATTATCATAGTCTTCAAAGTTTGTTTTTAACATAATCGTTAGTCTTATGCGTTTATAAACGTCAACAGTTTCTTGATCATTAAATAAATAAATAATAAAATATTTACTGATTACATTAGTCATAAAAAATCCTAAAAGTTTGACATAATTCTTTAATTTCATTGAAGTAAATAATAATTTTTGAAAATATGTTTTGATCGTTGTGTTTAATAAATATTTTAACATATTCTCTTAATTCACAAATGTATAAGATTTATAAATATCTTAATTAAAACGGTTAACATACTTTAAAAGTTATAATAAAATAAACTTCAAGAACTACGATGAATACTTGATTGAAAATTATAGTTTCATAAGGAAAACTCGATTGTATTATATCGATCGAGACTAAATCTGTGTGGTCCAAATTTTTTTTAGCATGCCTACGCATGTCACGGCATTGACAGGCACGTAGCTTTGGACAGCTTTTGCAAGCCATTGTTCATTCACATGTAATTCACCGTCATCCATCGTCCATTCCGATGGCTTTGTCTTTTGGAACCAAAGTCTTATGACGGTGGAACCTAGACTATCCTTTTAATGTTTTAGGACTCACCTTTTTATAATGTTTTCCTCGGACCACTCTATACAACATTTGTCGCCTTACATTAACATCTAACCTTGTATTTTTAATGTCTTAGTTTATTCTCTCTCGTCCACGTGCACGACAAGGAGTCGGTGTTATTCGAGCTCCATGTCTACGACAGACACGTATTCACTCTAAAGTTTGTGCGATGGACCATAATCCAATGATGGAACCATAATTCATTTATTTATTAAACCAACGAATATGAATAATATTTTATATTCATTTAGTTAAATGATGAACAAATAAATGCGTTTGTTATTCAGTGTTTTTTATATTCAACTCAATTTCGAGATATGTTTAAAATATTAAAACATAATAATTATTTACCTTAAGCCCATTAATAATTTAAAACCAATTAATTTTAAACCCAAATAAAAAAATACTCAAATCAATTAAAGAAAATATAAATCTAAAATTATTTGAAAAGAAAACTATTCTCAAATATAAGCTCAATTAATTTTATGTTCGGTTTGTTTACTTTCATTCATTTTTGTTCGTTTATCATTTTAACGAACATGAATAAACACGAACAAACTATATTTCTTATGAATGAACACGAACAAAAAATTTTGTTTGTTTAATCGTTCGCGTTCGTTCGTTTATTCGGTTAAAGTTAAATGAATGAATATGAACATATCATCATTTATGTTCGTTCGTTTAGTTTATAGACGTAGTTCCTATATGTTGTTTTACGTCCAATATCTAAACAAGTATTTCGTTATGTTTTGTTCTTAAACAGTATGACGTGTTTGGTAACCTACTGGGCCTATTGGCTGCGCACCCAGTTGCTCCACTGGTGTCCATTCACCACCTAGACAAGGTCGAACCCATATTCCCCAATGTGAACAGGGCCCAAGCCCTTAAACGTCTCGACCTCCCGATAAACCTGGACTCGGCTGCATTGATGCAGCAATCGGTTTGCTACGACAAAACCAGGAGTTGGACCGTCTCGGTCTCATGGGGCTACACGGTTCAAATACACCGAGGGATTTTGTCAGTGAGAGAAATGGAAATGCCGGCCAGAACTTTCCTGAATTGGTACAAGAGAGCCGATTACTTTGGCTTCTCTTTCAATACTCGACCCGTTACCGACATGCCTGCCAAAGACCTTCCGTGTACTACTTGTCTAAAGCATCACTCGACAAGAAGACAAACCAGACAACCTGCGAGCACGTTCGGCACCGAGTCCCGAACCCGGACTGCAAGTGGAAGTTGCCGGATCCTTCACGGATTGATAGAGTTGAGGTTTACAGAAAGCCCGACCCGAGTTTATGGGACAAGGTAAACTGATTTATTTAATTTTTCTTTTAGTCCATCTAATATGATGAAACTGGAGATTTAATACTCTACTTTTTGCTCTGTTTGTGTGTTCGAGCAGGCTCCAAGAAGGAATTGTTGCAGTGTGTTACCAACGAAGAAGAAAGGAACCATGGTTATTGATGTAGGAGTATGTGGAGACGATGAGGTCATTGAATTGCGCTGAGCCACTTTCATTTTCCTCCCTGCTCTTCAACATCAAATTATTACGTTTTTTTTCTTCTCTTTTCGATGAATTTTAGACCACGGTCATATCCATTGTCATGGAAATTTCGGGACGTGAAATTATGAAATTTTAGGGAATGAAAAATCAGAAATTTAAAATTTTTAAGAGCGTAATCGCCCGAACATCTATTACTTATCCATGGACGAATTCGATCGTAATGGTATAAATCATAAATATAAAATTTAAAACTTGAGAACAATCCGGTTTGATATGATTTTTTGTTTAATAATAGCATTGGAGGGGAAGAACTTAACTGAAATGCTATCAATATCTTAAGGGTTCAATTAAAATATTTTAAAGTTTAGAATCAATTTAAAACCATCTAATAATTTTAGGATGTCCGACACAATTTAATCCGATAAGGAAAGTAGATTCTGTCGTGTCCCGACAAGTGAGTTACTGACAACTGTCTTGACTCATACATAAACTAAACTCGCCTTTGACTCAGTCTAAACGAAAACGCGCTAAAAGTTCCCTCCCCAAATTTCCCTTTCCTTCTTATACTTCATACGTTTTCATGTTCTTCGATCATTAACTCTGTTTTCTCCCATGGAAACTTTAATTTCAAAACTTGGGTTCTCTTTGCTCCTTATTTATACCTTCACCTTTTATGTTCCCTCTTTTTCGTTCTCTCCGATCGACAATTATCTCATCAACTGTGGCGCCTCCCTCGACTCCGTCGTAGACAACCGTCGATTTATCTCCGACTCGTCCGATTCGCCAGACACACGTCTCTCTTCATCCCGGACCTTTTCTCTCTGTGCCGGAACTCTTCAGCCGGGTCAGCCTCAGATCTACCACACCGCTAGGGTTTTCAACGCGCCGTCAAAGTACGTATTCAATGTCAAAGAACCAGGGATGCACTCGGTACGTCTCCATTTTCACCGATTCATATCGTCCAGGTTGAATCTGGGTAACTCTCAATTTCACGTTTTGATTAATGAGTTGGTATCTTTGACCAATTTTAGTGGTGGGAATTTGATGGGTTATCCTAAGGTTATGGAATATTTGATTTGGGTTAATTCAGAGAAGCTCGAAATTGCCTTTGTTCCGGCTAGAAAATCGAACTTTGCTTTTGTTAATGCAATCGAAGTGATATCTGCACCCAAAGATTTGGTACTGGAAACTGCCCAGTATGTTAATGGCGTTAAAGTTGAGAAATTTGAAGGTTTAAATAAACAAGCATTTGAAGTTGCGCATAGGGTCACTGTAGGAGGTGTTAAAGTTACTCCCTTTAACGATTCTTTGTGGAGGACTTGGATGCCTGATGATGCGTATTTGAAATCGAGCAAGGAGTCGACTAAGCTGTACTTTGGTGGTAGGATTAAGTATCAAGATGGTGCGGCGAGCCGTGAAGTCGGTCCCGATAATGTATACAATTCGGCTAGGTTGATTCAGAGCAAGAATGCTTCGATTCCTAATGTTAACCTCACTTGGGAGTTTCCGGTGATTGATGATTATAAGTATCTTGTTAGGATGCATTTCTGTGATATTGCTAGCATATCCCTCGGATTGTTGTTCTTCAATGTTTATGTCAACGGACATTTGGTGTATAAAGACTTGGATCTATCTGCTGTTGCGAATTACGAGTTGGCTTCTCCATTCTATGCGGACTTTGTGGTTGATGCCGATTGTTCCGGTGTCTTGAGCGTAAGTGTTGGACCGTCAAGCAAGAGCATGGAGTATGCGGTCGATGCAATCCTAAATGGAGTGGAGATCCTGAAGATGAATAATTCTGTGGGTAGTCTTGACGGTAAGCTGCCTGCGGAGCTGCTGTTGAAGTGTTGGCATAGAGGAGCTATCGGCATTCTGCTTCCCTTGATTGCTCTTGTGTGCTTGCTGATGAGCTTGTCGGCGATTATGCATAGGAGGAAGAATAAGGTGGACGCAGTGCCGTGGTCGAAACTGCCTACGGATGACCACGAAATTTCTCCAAAGCAAGCCAAACTACAATTGTCAAACATCGTTACCTAAACACTGTAAAAAATCATTTCCACTGGTCCTATTATATAACTATTACAAGAAGCTAGTCGAGTGTAACACGTACTTGTTCGGTTTCGTAGATCGGGTCTATCGATTCGATGGTTTCTTCGTGTTTAAAGTCTAAGTTGTTGTCTGGTAATCCTAATCCGTATGTAAAGCTGTATTAAACAGAACATGATTGTTATATTCAATACATACCTATTTTTGTGTTTATACTTTCAACAGTGAAACTGATATACAAGATCCAAAGCCCGCAACTTTGCTCCCTTGGGACAAAAACGCTTGGCGCCACCGGTGAATCGACCGTCACTAATCCTTTTCTCCTCCGCTGCAGACGAAGGCGAAAGCCGCCTCTTTCCCCTCTTATTCATGACAATATATTTCCTCATCCTCTCCTAAACTTTACCATTCGATGTCTTTGAATTTTCCTCGGCTCCAGCTTCGTTCTCATCAACCACTTGCATCGGCTCACCACCACATTCATTGTCGGCGATATCTTCTGGTTTATTCGATGTTTTTTTAATGAGAAAATAATCTTAGTGATAAAAATGCCTTATAATATACGATTTTAATCAATTTTTTTGGATTTGTCAAAATGACCAACTAAATCGTAATGTGATTGATAATTCGCAACGCGATCTCCGGTATCGCAAATCAGTTTTCAGATTCGCAACGCGAACATCGACTATCGCAATGCGATAGTCCAAGTTCATTGTGATAGTCGAAGTTCGCGTTGCGATTTATTCCAAATTCGTTGCAATAGTCCAAATTCGCGTTGCGATTTATTCCAAGTTTGTTGCGATAGAAAACAAGGGGGACTCTCGCGTGCCGTTGTTCGTTGTTCGTTCGTGGAATACGGTCTTCGGTCCACGCGTACTATCTTTTTAGAGAAAATTTTAAGAAACAAATGCAATACCACCAGTCGTTGCGATTTTGGACTATTACAACGAATTTGGAATAAATCGCAACGCGAACTTGGACTATCGCAACGCGAACTTGGACTATCGCAATGCGAATATGTAAATCGCAATGAGAATATGTATATCGCAATGCGAATATGTAAATCGCAATGCGATAGTCGAAGTTTGCGTTGCGAATCTGGAAACTGATTTGCGTTACCGGAGATCGCGTTGCGAATTATCGATCGCATTGCGATTTAGTTGATCATTTTGGCAAATCTAAAAAGTTGGTTAAATCGTATATTATAAGGCATTTTTGGTCACTGAGGTTATTTTTCTTTTTTAATTAGTCACTATTATTATTATGGTTTATTCGAATTTAGTCACTAGTTTTATTTTTATTCTTTTTAGCCACTGTTTGGGTTCTATTTATTATTTTATTATAATTTGGATACGATATCTTCAATTTATGCATTTTAGTCACCGATTGATTATGATTTGGATATTGTTTTTATTTTAATTTTATTTTAGTTCTTTTCTGCTTATTATTTTATCTTTATGATTATTTTAATTCGAGTGTCTTATTTTAATTGAATGATTGAAGTTGATTTATTTACGATTTTAGTACATAACAAGTAAAATATTTGTAATGGTTGTCTTGATTTCTTTTGGTTTTAAAGTTTAATCCCTAAAGTTATCATATTTATTATTTTAATCCTTCATTTACATGTTCGTAAATTTCTTGCTAATTGTAATATTTCTAAATATTATTTTATACGATGAATTTATGGAAATGCGCCTTAACTGACAAGGAGTATGTTTTCAAGAATTGTTCGAATAAAATAATACCATTTATTTTTAAATGAATTTGTTTTTTATTTAATATATGTATTTTATCTAAAAATTAGGATAATATTATTTTGTATGAGGAATCCATAAAATTGCCCCTTAACTGATTAGGAATGTATTTTTGAGGATTGTTAGTATAAAATAATAAACTGATTAGGAATTGGTGTTGGGACCGTGAAGAGCAAGGCGAGGGTATTGCTTTGCTTTCATTTTTCTTATGTGGAAGCAGTGTCTCCGAGAAAAGATTGATAGCGTGTTTAATGTAAGCTGCATGGAGATAGGCTGGAAATAGTAGCAGAAGCCATTAATGCAACCGCAAAAAAAAAAAAAAAGAGAGCAGGTGGAGTGGGCCTTCCCCTATCTCTCAAAAACAAAATTTCAACCAAAATGTTACCTCAAATTCAATGCCTTTACCTCTTTTGCTCGAATGATTTAAATCTAAAATGATTCAAACTCAAGCTAGTCCGATAGAAAATTCAACACCCACGACTGAGCCATCTCGGATCCGTTTCATCTGCCCATATTAACTCACTCCCTCTATGATTAGACTAGTTTCGTCGAGCATCTTCGAAGCTAACAAGTTGTTGAGGTTTTCATTTAATGGGTTTTCAATTTCTCCAAGCAAAAGAGTACTTCCCTTTACAGTTAGCTCTTCGGTTTCATCAACGGCAGCTAGCTTTTGTCTTCTTTTTCTCCCCTTGTACATAACATAATTACTAGTCATCACCTACTCCGACAGTCCTTACAAGGAGAGGTGAAATTCATTCACCGTACAGAGATTATTGCAGTACTTTAGGTGAAGAAACGAAAAAGAAAAAGATCGATTTTTGAGCATAAAATTGGGAGGAAGATGGAGAAGAATCTAAAGGGGAGAGGAAGATCATTCCCAGTGCAATGCAACAGTCATGGTTAAAACTTAAGATGGCCTTGTGTCGGTAAAACATAGCATGTGCCTTTCTAATTTTCCTATACTAATCGGGGCTAAATTACATAACTGACACCGTTTGTTTTAAATTTTACCTTTCTAACACCGTTTGACCAATATTTCCAAAACTAGCACCCTTTCTGTTGAGTTGGCAAAGGCGCGTCCCCGGGGACGCGCTTTACCCGTGTTTTCGCTGAGTTGGATGCCACGTGTGAAAGGCGTCCCCGGGGACGCGACTTTGCCATATCAGCAGACACGTGTGGAAAACGCATCCTCGGGGACGCGCCTTCCATTAAATGTCATAAATGCCCCCATCCGTTTTTCCTAACTACCCCTCCTCCTCCCCTATATAAACCCCCTCAACCCTCACTCATTCTTCACACCAAAATCATCTTCTCCTCTCTTATATAACTCAAATTCTCCAACTATTTGAGTTTTAAATTTGTTATTAGTGGTAAGAAATTTATTTTATATTAGTATTTTTTTAAATAGTTATTATTTTTTATATAATATATTATGTAAATATTATTTTTTTTAAAATAATATTTATATAATTATTATTTATTTAGAATTATTAATTTTTTTTTCTAATTATATTATTTTGTCTACAGTTATAATGGAAAACGAAATGCTGTTGCGATTGGATATTGATCATATCTCCAGACATTTTAGCGATATGGTAATATTTTTTATAATTAATGTTAATATTTAAATTTATTTTTATTTTAAAGTTATTATGAATTTATATTATTTTTTATTTTTTATAATATATATTATTTAGGATGCTGATCGTATTTTAGAAACTTTTATTAAAATCCACGTATACCGACACCGGAACGTATTTTGCCATATTTGGCTTCTGCTGGGTTCGGGTATATTGCAACAATTATAGGCGGTTGCAAACTCGAACCTGTCCTAATTTCTGCACTGATTGAGAGGTGGAGGCCCGAGACACACACTTTTCACCTTCCATGTGGAGAGGCAACAATTACATTGGAGGATGTCTCTATGCATCTGGGGCTTCCCGTCGACGGAAATATGATGTGTGGTATGGCGGATGGTGATTGGCAATCAATGTGCATTGATTATCTTGGAGCTGCTCCGCCAGAGTTTAATGGAGGTAGAATAGCTTTATCTTGGTTGAAAGCTAATTTTGAGGTTTTAAATGAAAATGCTTCAGAGGATCAAGCAAAGGCATGTGCTCGGGCATATATTCTACGAATAATTGGAGGAATATTGATGCCCGACAAATCTCGCAACCAGGTGCATTGTATGTGGTTGCGGCATCTGATCGATTTTGATGAAGCTGGAAGATATAGTTGGGGTGCTGCAGTTTTGGCATTTCTCTTTAGAGAAATGTGTCGGGCGACGAATTATAAGAAAACTGCTATCGGTGGATGTCTTCTGCTTCTACAATCATGGGCGTGGTTCCGCATGCCTTTCTTATGCCCGATCGTAAATGAACCATACGTATTCCCCTTATTGTTGAGGTAATTTTCGAACTAAATTTTGATTTAAATATTTTCAATTAAATAGGGTATGTTTACTTATTGATACGAAAGCTGGGTTAGAGGAAATCCGTTTACTTATTGATACGAAAGCTGGGTCTGAGGTATGTTTTTAAATTTGTTTAATTATTAATATTTTAATTTAAAATGTTAGATATAATTAGAATATTTTATTTATTTGAATTGTATATTTATATTTCAGTTTCAGTGGATACCTTATGCGAGCGATGAAGTGAAAGCTTGCATCCTACCCCACCTTAGTGGGTCATTAGAGGTATGGATATCGGTTATACCTCTTATATGTTATGCTATTATTGAGTGGCATCCAGTTGATCGCGTGCTCCGTCAGTATGGTTGTACGCAATATATTCCTGGAGCTCCTAGAAATTTAGACGACGTGCATAACATAGATAGACGGGGAAAGAAAGATGTTAACTGGGTGGTGAGACACAGAGATTGGATTGCGCTTTGGGAGAACCGATATACACTATTGGCCCATCGACAATATTACGCTGAAACTGGTCATATGGTTACGGATAACTATATGGACTGGTTTAATGAAAATGGGAAGTCGTTTCTACTTTCGGCGGAAGCACGAGGGGTTAACATTCCTAGGCGCCGAAAAAGACGTCAACCGTCTCAATATCATCTTCCCCCGATGCGTGGACGGAGAGAAGGCGCTACCGATTCTGCATCAGTCCCACCACAACATCCTTATTCGTCGATGCCGCAGGGGTACATGCCCAGCCCTCCACTTCATATGCCAAGCCCACCAGTTTATATGCCATCTCCGCAGGGTTACATTCCGAGCCCGCAGGGTTACATTCCTAGCCCGCCAGGTTACATGCCTAGCCCGCAGGGTTTTATACCATATGGAGGTGCATATACGACTATGTTTAATGATCTAGCATATGGTTCATATGCATCTTATTTGGCT